CATCAAACAGTGCTAAAAGCTTTGGTGAATATCACACCAAATTGACTATCTACACTGTTTGGGATTTTCCCCAAGGGGGCAAAGTCGGTGAAGCTTCATATGAAAGGATTCACACTGCAGACACCCAAGTCCTGGTCCTAGAGTCCCCAAGTGTCCCAGTCCCAGGTTGTCCCAGTAGGATAGGCCATAGGGTCTGTAGTCCAAAGCGTCGTAGGTTGGAAGGTGTCGGTACCGGAAAGTCCTAGGTCAGTAGAAGTCTGTCTGGTACGGTCAGTAGAAGTCTGTCTGGTACCCGACAAGAAAAGTCCAGAAGAGTTCAGCCCAGGCGGACAGTCCCAAGTCCAATTTGCAGCATGTCCCAGGAAAGTCCAGAAGGTACCGGACCGACAAAATGTTTGCAGCAGATAGGCCGCAACCGACTGGTACCGGTCTGAAGCAGGCCAAGCCAAGCCAAGCCAAGCCAGGCGAAGTCCTATATTTCGCTGCAACAGTGCAGCGGCTCATCACTTGTTTGTTGCGAGATGCGGAAGCGCTGCTGCTGCTTGTGCGTTAAGGCAACTTGGAACGCGCTCGAAGAAGAAGAGGGTGTTTGCAAATTACTCATAGTGAGGTTAGGGGTAGAGCAGGAGGACGGCGGCCATAGCCACCAAGATGTAGGCATACCTGAGTGGGTGTATCCAGGGTGACGGTCTAGGTGAGAGAGAGAGGAAGTGAGGCAGAGCGAGCCAAGTCAGAGAGAGAAGCAAGGCGAAGAGAGAGAGAGAGAGAGAGAGAGAGAGAGAGAAGAGAGAGAAGCCATAGCCGCCACCTGAATGTGATCCGTTGTGTGTGTGTGTGTGTGCGGCAGAGACGCTGGAGACGAACATTCTTGTATATTGATAATGATATTGGAGATGACATCTTCAAGTGTTGATTGTATCCCGATTTGGCTTCTCACGAGTGAACTCTCATGTATTCGAGGTTGAACTTCACGAGTACTTAGCTCATTTCAATAAGAATACGAAAAGGAATATCACTGTTTTGCTTTCTAATAGTTTTCATCTTGTCAAACAGTTGCAGACAGTTCTTACCATCAAGAAGATTTGGAAGAATGGGGCGCAATTCATTGAGATCTGCAAAGCAGAGAAAACGACAACACAGACAACACGGCCAGCGTCAGAGAGCGATGCAACAATGTTTGCCGAATGCCTCGTAAGTTGTAACTGATCTTCAGATAAAAGTTCATAAAACGATTCCTTAGATGCATGTCCCACAAATTTCACCTCACAATCTACATTCCATCTTTCCACCAGATGTTAAAAGCTGCTACCGGTTTGGTTTAATGACATAGAGATAGTTTCCATGCATACAATTCATGTATGCAAAAAAAGAGCGAGCAACCTGCCAAATACCCTGAAGAACACAATGTGTCCTCCAATAACCAGGTGGCTCCATTGACAAATGAACATAAAGATGAATCTGAATCCACAAGCATGACATCTTGCTTCATGGGGAATGCTTATCACAAGCATAACAACACTGGAATGTCCTCGAGATTTTTGAGACATGGACGCACACTCAGATTCATCTAATGCTCATTGGATTTCACATTGGGATATGGGTCGCTGTTCACGTCAAGCGTTTATACTCCACACAACAACAAACTAACAGGATCCTACAGGTTGAATCAATCCACAATTCCAAACCCACGCTCAATTCACGCCAATTTAATTAACACCTGCTGAGGTAAGTTATGGCATGGCTTGTTAAAACTGGTTACGAACTTATGACATGGCTTAAAACACGGCCCAAGCTTATGCTGACTGCCATGAATCTTGGATTGTTCCTACGATTCCACCAACAAATGGCACATTGACATCTCGCCATGCGTTAAGTTCCAGCGTCTGTTGGTTGAGGGAAATCACGGGCTTGAATTTGAGGTCTGTTGATTTTCGCACGACTTTGAATTTGCAATAATAACACTGTTTCCTTAAACCGCTGGTGTGTTTCCTAACTTATACCGATCCTACGCAGCAGATAAGACACTGTGTCCTCAGGGCGCGATTTCATACCCATGATAGCTCAGCAAAACTTGGCGGGAGGAGAAAGGAGGCCCGGACAGCCTGGTGGTGCAAATTAGAACGAGTAATGAAGCTGATATGTCTGGTTGTGCAATAACCTTCCACTGAAGAGGGGGGGGAATCCTTCTCGAATTTGGCTGCCGAATAAAAATCTTACATTCATACTTCATATTTTGACTGTACCATTCCCCAGAAGAGACCCCAAAACGATTTCATTAATTTAATCTTTCAAATACTGTATCTTAAAATACTTCAGAGACAAATAGATTGCTCCATACTTCTTAAACTTATACCTACTTTCTTTTCTTTTCTTCTTTTCCTTTCGTTTTTGAATACCTCCTTTTCTTTTATGGTGCCATCTGGGATCCTTTCAAGAGAGATCGGATGGCAGCAAGGGATCTGAGCATGAAAAAGAGAACTGTTCATCAAACCGTTCGCAGTCCAACCTTTGCTACAATTAACTTTAGGGTCATAGGAGAAGTGCCTTTTTTCTATTTGAAATTGCTGCCCATAGGAGGGATTTAACAGGATAACACAACAAACAGAATGGTTCTCTGTACAAGTGCAGACAGTTGCAGTCCAAACTTTGCTACAATTAACTTTAGGGTCATAGGAGCAGTTAAGTTCGTTCTAGTGTAAATCTGCTGACCACCGTAAGGATGTCACAAGATAACGCAATGAACAGAAGGATTCTCAGTACAAGTTTGTGCAGACAGTTGAGAAATACAGAGAGCTCAGAGAGAACTAATACTGGGCACCAAGGCATCCTACGACCTGCAATAGGCAAAAACGTGGGAGAGTACACTCAGGTATGATTAAAAAAAACTAAGCAAACACCTAAAGCCTTGCAGCAAGAGCCCCTTTCGGACAACTCTCACCTTGACAAGCGATCACAAATTCCCTCAGGGCCACAACAGAGTCCACTCGCACCGGCAGCTCCGGGTCTCTCAGGCCATTCACGACACAGTGCATGGCTGCAGTGAAGTTCCGAGAATCCGCGAATTTTATCATCCCATATTGACCACAAACCCATGCAGCCTGGATAAGAAGAACAGCAACACATTTCCAGGTTTTTTGCAAACAGAATGAGAACCACAACTTCAAGAGACATCCTCATTATAATTCCGCCTCACATTGTGCGAAACACATACAACAGAAAGGCAAAACTTCATTTTCATTACGAGCCGTCCCAAGCCACCAAGTTCTCCATCATGCTCCCCATGTGCGTCTGAAGCCACAGTCCAAATTAGATCATAGCATTGCTGGGCTGTTGCTTTTTTTGAAAGGACACTGTGTTTTCCATATAATCAAATTAGAAAATGTGACCGAACTTTGACAGAAGATTGCCCAATTTATGACGGGGAATTGAAACTGCATGATACAATCACTCCCTGACAATACGGGCAATCATTGACCTCGAGATCCAAGAGAGAAAATGGCAGACCTCGCAGTCAATCCTGCAGTGTAAGGAGCAGTTAAGGCAAGAGGTTACTCCAGCCAAAGCAGAAGGAAGTGTTTACAGGAGATCATTATTTATATGTCATGCTCTGCAGAATTCATAGACACATGCTCTCCGGAACAAAAAAGATTCCAAAATGCAAAAATGGGATCCAAATGACCATTTTCAGGTGCTTACGCACCAACTGCAAGCTACCGCCATTATCCCGCAGGGTCCATAATTATCCGCAAAGGTCATAGCACTCAAATGACCGCAGTGATTCAGAATGTATCCACAAATATTTGGGTCCATGTCAAGTACATTCTGCGAAGCTGGCTCGAGTTCCAGTTGACTCGCCATAAAAGCCATAAACAATACGGCGAATACGCCCATGTTCAAGCCAGCCACAGTACTATTATCATCTGGGCAAACAGCACAACTCTCCACTTCTATCCAGTTGACAACTGCAAAATCAGAAACAGGATATGGAGTACAACCGTATGCACGGAGATACACTAACGGCGTAGTACCCAGTGTGGCCTGACCATAGCATATTGAGATCATTTGGCTTCGAACACAGCAAGGTGGAGGGGGGAAGGTTCATTCCAGTATCTACAACCTCTCTCGGCGACTTCTCCCCCCGATAACTACAATGGCTCTGGCAAGTGTTCAGGAGACAACCGTCTGCAGCTGGGGGTTCTATCAAATGGTCAGAGGCTGAATCGTTGTGATTTGGGGCTAGATTGCAATCGGCCGAAGAGAAATGGAAGTGTGGGGGTCAGATATAAGGAGCGAAAGCTGAGCATCCATGCTTGTACTCAGAGTGGCTGATAGTCGTGCACATGCGGCACAGGTTCCAGCACCTCATGTCTGATGCACATGCAGGGCCGCAGCACTGTTAACGTCGAACCCACCTTGTGCACAGCAAAATTGGTACGTACTGTTCCTTACTTTGTTTTGGGAGAAACAAAGGCACTCTCAAAGGTGGCCAGTGTCTGGGAGACGGCGGTGGAGATGGGAAATGTCTGTGGTGAAGAGGCACCTGTCATGGCCGACCTGACCATGAATTATCAATGATGATGACGATGCTGAAGGGGAAGGAGGAGGAGGAGGAGGCAGAATAAGAGGCAGTAGGCCGAGGGGACAATGGAGTAGCAGATGCAGGTGAGGGGACCAATGGTGGTGGCAGTGAATCAGCAGGGGGAGAAACAGTGGGAGAAAGGGGCAGCAGGTGATTAGCCCTGCGCTCAGTTCAACCACTCGGCTTTTTTCCTGGTAGGTCACCTGTAGGATTGAGCTGGCAGACACTCTTCAGTCAATTGCAGGCACACATCCTCATATAGCACAGGCTATCATCCACTGCACAACTCTGGCAACAGACGGCAGGTCGAGTTTCTGTTGGGGTTGTAGCATCCACATTAGAAGTCACTGGTCCAGTCGTAATAATTGGAAAGGTTGGGGTCGTGTGTGGCTGCGTGGAGGACTGATGTTGCCTGTGCACACAATTGGCATTCACTAGCGAGTGGGCAAGCAACCAGCAAATCATGTGGCCTAACCAATTCGTAAGCCGGGTGACATGAGTGGGAAGCTGACTCTGTCAGCTACACACATAAGGAGCCCAAACTCCAGCCAGGACACTGGGGGGATACTTGGGGAGCATACGCCGTGTCAAGGAAGTCACTGTTGCTTTGAAGTCGACAGAATTGTTACAATACGCTTGAACCTCATCAGCTGTCCCGTGAGCACACATGCAGGCTGATGGTGTGCTCTTAATTTGGTGATCAGACTCTGCAGCGACATCTGGCGAGAGGAGGGTGTTAAGGGTATTTGTGGGGACAGAGTAATCATTTGTCCAGAGACTTTGATGTTCGGTGCACTCTAAATTTGGCGTGCTCTTGACTTTGCAATTCTGCTTTCAACTCAACTCATTCATGATTGGTGTTCGATGAGGTTTTGCATCTCAAAAAGTTTGTGACATCATAGGATGGTTCCTTGCCTAGGTGTAGGATTAGGTCCATGTGCAGCCAAAATCATCAACTAGCAGGCCTGGTGCGGCACACCAACGTGGGAATATGGGAGCAGCCCGAGGCCAAAAAGGACATCTTTTTCCTGATCCCGACCTCAACCCTTGGTAATGTTCCGAGGCTAGCACACTGACAAATGGCGTAGCGTCCTTTGCACCTGGTGGACATACAGCAAGGACAATGATTTGACACATAAACACAGAGGATATTGCTGTCACTTCATTTTGGCAGGTAAGCATTGCTGACACTGGTCTGAGAGTCATAACCTTGCGCCTATGCATACCTGGAGCTGTATGTGGGTTGTTTTCTCATACAGGGGTGGATGATCATATGCATGATCCACCTTGGTCTTCATGAGCGGAGTTGAGGTTAAATAGGGAAATGGTTCAGAGACCAAGCTGGTTGTGCTCTTCTGGCAGCGGACATGGTTAAACGATAGAAAATATGAGCAGGGCACCCCAATGCATGTCCGAAACTGGAATGGCCAACAAAGAGAAAGTACCCACACTATTATCTCAAAGACAGATGAGATCAACCAATCTGTGCATTATTTTGATGGAGGAATGCAGTCTTAAGCAAGGGAGGATGATGCCACTGCCCCAAGTGATCACAACGCCAGGTCTGCAGTGCCCCTTCCCCTGTTTTCTATACATCTAATGGCACCTGGACTCGAGCTTGGGTCTGTATTTTTCAACAGTTCAGTGGTGTACCAACTGAGCTACGCCAGTTGGTGCAATAATCACTTTCTTCTTTAAACCTTTACAGCAGTGTTGCATAACCCCCCACCAACACAAAAGTTTGATTGAGACAGGAGACCTGTTTGTCCTCGCAAGGAATATGTCTTGAAGAAAACATCATCTAGTTTTTTAATTGACTGTCAGAAGGCGGGGGGGGGGGCGGGGGGGGGAATGCAACAATTGGACATCACCACGCCTCTGGCTTCAAAACACCGTAACCGCACCAAGATCGCTTTCCCAAAACCATAGCCACAGGTGCGACACACCAGCACGAAGTGCAGAAGCCCTGATACCGAAGCCCTGATAGGTGCTCCCGTTCAGTGGCAGACAGACCTCCAGCACAATATACTGCACCACTCCAACCTGCTCTGTATTATCTCATGGCCAAAAGAATTGAGCATCATAGATTCATGGTGAAAAAGATAGTTATGCATTCCTGTCTATTGGTACCGCAAAATCCCACCTTGGCACGAAGATGACCCAGAGGGCTCTGGAACTCTGGCAAGACATGCTGCACAAGCATCGTTTCAAGTGCACCCTTGTATGGATCTGTCTTCTTGAGTATGTCACTCAGGGCCCCGATGGCAAGCAAAGCACCATCCTTTTGCCTATAAGGCTTTTGATCTAGTGGCAGTTCCTGACATCTGAAAGCAAGAAAAAAGCAGACGTTCACACACAGCCACACACAGGCAAAGACCAAGTGCAGCACAAAGACATCACCACAGCATAAGGCGATAAACTTTTCCAGGGAAATTGACAGAAGAACCAAGTATATCACGCCACGGCTGCAATTCCGCAATCGAAACCAATAGAGCAAAACTGGAGCTAAATGCAATGACACTGACCAAATCAGACTCTACATACAATGAATACATCTGGGCTGTGAGATACTCAAAAGCTCCGCTACACAAAAGTTTGGAAAGTCGACCACAGTATCGAGTGCTCGTAACTTCAGAATCGTAGATTCTATGCATATCTGAAACAGCTCCCCTACGCAAGTTCCAATCCAATTGCAACCAGGTGGAATTCTAAATTTACCTAGGGCCAGTCAGCTCAAAGATGACATTTCAGAAGGGGGGGGGGGGGGGGGCAGCTTCACACCTTACCTTCTGAAAACATCAACAATAAAATTCAGAAAACGTTGAAGATTGTCTTTTCCTCGTTTCCTCATAAGCTCCGATAAGAAGTTGATTGCCGCTGTCCTTGCACCGTACAAGTCCTCAATTATGTCTGTATGCGACGTTCCAATTCATAGCCACCAGTTCACAAAGGTCCATCAGTCCTCACAGGCCATCCCATTACCTCTAACATTTTATTTTTTATTTTTTTGGATGACCAGATGACCGAATCAATATCATTCTCGATCAGCTCCCAAGAACACACGGAAAGAAAACAGCCCTAAACCATTTCTTCCGTAGATGGTAAGACCCAGTGCATTTAGCCCCCAATGGAGAAAATGCAAAGATAATCCAACCACTGAGCGTATGATCTCGTTCTCATTGCCATCCCAGATTCCAGCCCTCCAATGCCTCTTACCTCCTAACTCCTGTCCTTGTCACTTCTTTCCTTCTCATGTACTCCCACGGCCATCTTCCGCTTCAGGCTCACTACCCCCACCCCCCACCGACCGTATGATCTCGTTCTTGTTGCCATCCCCAATTCCAGCCCTCCAATGCCTCTTACCTCCTAACTCCTGTCCTTGTTGTCACTTCTTTCCTTCTCATGCACTCCCATGGCCATCTTCCGCTTCAGGCTCACTACCGCCACCCCCCACTCCTTGATGCCATTCTCCTACCATCTCCTACTCATCATCAGTAGCGGCAGCATCAGCAACACTGCCATAATTACTCTCCAACTCTTCCTCATCCTCGCGCTGAAGCTTTCAATCATTACCTTAACTTAACCCTACCTTATTCTGCAAAGCACAACACTGCATCACTACAGCCTTCTTGAGGACAACTTTCAGACCATATACAGATATAATGAAGATTGGCTTACCTCTCCCCTTTCTCAACACCCTCCTCTCTCTCAGTCTCTTCCCAATTGCCGCCTTGCACCTCTTATTTTATCCACTCCTCTCTCTCTCTCTCTCTCTCTCTCTCTCTCTCTCTCTCTCTCTCTCTCTCTCTCTCTCTCTCTCTCGCACTGGTGCAAAAGAAAACCATTGAACAAAATATACAGGGCTATCACCTTCTCTGGCAAGACTTTCCAATCTTTTCTAATTTGCTTGGATGGTATTTAGAGCCTAATCCGCGTTCGCTCGCCACTACTAACGGAGTCTCGGTTGATGTGCTTTCCTTTAGCTACTTAGATGTTTCAGTTCGCTAAGTCAACTTCGTTGCGGTTTCCCGATAGGAAATCCATGGATCAAAGAGAGCTTCTCCCAATGGCGTTTCGCCTTTCATTGCGTCCTTTCTTTCTCAATGCCAAGATGAACACAACGCCTTTGCATGCCAAGCATAGAGACTGCAACTAAAACTCCGTCAGCTCCTCACTACTTGACTGGCAAACCACCTCTGACACTCTACATATTTTGCAGCCAGAGGAACAGTCAGGCAAAGCCCAGTTAGGCTCAAAATATATGGCACCCACCAGGCTTGTCATAGATAAATCAAGCATTTAAACAGTCTTCAGAAAAAGATATTATACCTGGTAAGTTGTGGTAACTTTTCTAAGTGATAATAACATAGTTTGAACAGTTGATAACGTTAGTGGTTACTAGAGGAATAGTTTGAACTGTTGATAACGTTAGTGGTTACTAGAGGAACTGCACTCATCACGTTCAGAGAATATCAACAATGAAAGATAAATACACCGCAATTCTCCTAAAAACGAAAACATTACGACCGTACATATCATTACGCAATCAGGCACGTACCTTACACAACAGTATCCTATGTAAACACGTTTGAAATCAAGAATCCTACGCTTGATGCATTGATTTTGCCAGAAATAAAGTAAATACCAGGTTTTGTGGGGAAACAGAAACAACCCTCTAGAAGCTCCAGCTCTCAATTTCAGACGCATACACAATACCTCAGAGCACAGCCCATGCACAAGTGGCCATGCACAAGTTCAAAAATGTCCTGCAAAATAAAATTACGAAATCACAAGAAAACGTTCCCTTTGACAATGAAAACTTCGGGGATGGACCACAAATGGGTTGAAGAGAGAGTTATGAAGATATAAATCCCGCAAAAGGGTAGAGACCTCAGTAATGGACATACGACCTGATCCTCACCGTATCCCTTTCTCACATACTCATGAGGGTCATTTCGCCAAAGTGCCTCGTCCTCGTCATTGAAGCACAGCAGCGGAAAGACAATCTCGTAGAGAATGATGTCGAGGTGCGGCTTCAACAGCTGATACGTGGCAGCTTTCCCAACACTGCAAATCACAAATCAGACACGGAAATATAACAAATCCACTTCTATTTAGATAATCATTCAGACCCCTTCCGTTAAGTTAAACGGAACCCACCATGCCAGATGGATGACTCCAAGTGAAATGAAATGTAGATGGATGGGCATAGCGTGAGCTTATTCCTGCAAAGTCTACAACTACACACAGAGGTAGATAAGTCCTCACAAGTAATGCAAATCTTCAGGCGGCATACAACTCTTCCCATGCAGTGATGTTTTATGCACTATTTTCAGTTCAGACTCTTCAGAGCCAGCAACTCGTCACAGCATCAGAGGAATGCAGCAAACCCTTGTCAACAAACTGGCCCAAAAATCGCCAGCTGATCGTTTAGATAAGTCCTCACAAGTAATGCAAATCCTCAGGCAGCATACAACTCTTCACACCGCTGATGTTTTATGCACTATTTCAGTTCAGACCCAGCAACTCGTCACGGCATCAGAGGAATGCAGCAAACCCTTGTCAACAAACTGGCCCAAAAATCGCCAGCTCACAACGAAGAGATCCTGAAACCACATCATCCGGTCAAGCTTTCGCCTCAAAGGACCCACCTGTATGCCCAACAAATGAAGGGCAGACACGTCACACAACTCCAGTCCTTCCCCCATTTGTTTCATACCGTCTTTTGGAACTTTATGACACTCTAAAGACAAAACAAGAGCGCAAATTCAGTGGTGCTATTTCCCCCAGAGCATCATCCTCGCAGGAATTCAAATCCTTCCAATAGGCATCTTCTTTCAGTCGCAGCCATCCACCTGCAGCAATCGCAGAGGCCGTGCAAACAAGAACAAAATCATCATGATCGCCCTTCCCTGTCCTGTGCATGTGCAACTTCTTTCCCAGCACCTTTCTGTACCAAAAAGTTATATTTTCTCCTCTTTTTAATTTAGCCATGCTTCCTCAGCACCATATTACAAGGTGTGACAGCAGCAGACAGTTGACCGACCTGGTTGCCAGATACTTCAGTGCAAAGTTTATAACCCTTTCGGGCAAATAACCACCCTGTCGCAGACAGGACAGAAGGGAAAGATGAGACTCCAAGAACTTCCCAGCACAGTGCTTCTGAAACATGGTGGCAAACACCTTGTCACATTTCTTTGCACACTTTGGATCACCAAATCTGTACCACACAGCACCAAGAGACAAATAAACAAGAACGCACAATGCACAAAGGCAACTCCATTAACTCACGTTCATTTTCTGCAAGACCGATAAGGTCTGAGATTGGCGAATTCAGGTACAATGCACAAAGGCAACTCCATTAACTCACGTTCATTTTCTGCAAGACCGATAAGGTCTGAGATTGGCAAATTCAGGAAAGCAACACTTAAAACAGGGAATATGCCATTTGCATGGGTCGCTGACAGAAAAGGTTTGCATCCACTGTTGCTCCGCCTCAAAAACGAGAAACAACCCCAAACGGAGCCAACACCGCTCCCAACTCTCCAACCTTTGACAAAAGTTTGGCACATCATTCATTTCGTACCAATCTATAGCTATTGACCCGATATAGGACACGAAGGTCATTTTACTTAAAGAATTTCACCACTGCAGATAAATACCATGCAGGCTTCCCTTTCCTGGAATCATTGGGTGAACAAGCCAAATCTTGGCAATTTCAGCTACTGTAGGCCCCCGAACCACAAACAGTTGCACTACCCTGTCTACAGTTGCTTGAAATCAGTTCTTAAATAGGAAAACTGCCAGGTGTTATCAGGCAGCCCGGCGGCTCGCCCGGGGGAATCTGCCGCCCAAATCACGGGCATGCAAAAGTCTGGGAAATTTCCCCCCACCCAGATGCAGCATTTTGCGCACGAATCCAGGTTCTTTATAGTTTCTCAGTGTTATCAATAGGTGTGACAGGGGGGGTTACGAAGGGAGTTTCAAGGGGCTTCAACGGCTCCAGAGGGGGGATGCCTTAAGTTTCATTTTTTTCAGCATTTTTTTGATCGAGTAAGGAATTTTGAGAACGTTTCATTTTTCCCTTTTCTTTTTTGATTCACTAAGGAATTTTGAGGTGGTGCCCCTCAGCCATAAGCTGCTTGCATTGCAATTCTACACAACAAATTTTCTTCCCATAACTATAGAAATTGAAATTTGAATTAAATTATTGAATTTAAAAAAAGCAGAATATTTTGCACTGGGGCTGCTCGGGACCCCTGGCTGGGCACAACGTGGGTGCCCAGGAACATGGAATTTGGTTCATACATCGCCTTATTTTTGCTATTCTCTGAATTTTTTTTCGATTCTCTGGTGCGCGTGCACCTTGAACACAGGTGCTCTTGCAAGGACTATCCTTGCTTCACTGCTCACTGTCAGCCGGTCAATAGCATTCCACCACATGGGAGGAATATCAATTAACCTGAGGACAAAGCTCTCTACCAACGAAGACGACTATCCTTACTTGACTGGATAACGATTTTCCCTTTTCAAGCCAGGACATGTATGTTGAAATAGGTAATTATTTTTTTCATTCTTCACAATGTTCGTTGCATTAGCCTACAAAAAAAACAATCTATCTTTCTTTTTGGTTCACTTTAGTTTCTCGTTTGAACCATCTGTTTTTTCAGCTCTTTCTTTTGTTATGTTTCTTCTGATTTCTTTATTTTTAGCGTTTGCCTTCTCAGACACTCTACAGACCCCTCCCTTGTCATGCCCAATGCAACTCCTCTTCCAAGAAATGGCTACTACACACTATTTGCAGCAGCATCGCTTCGGTCACACAACCTTCTTTCCCACGGACACAGCCATCCCCTAGACATTGAGAGTGCACCACGTAGGCGCAACAAGGATTCCCAGGGACATCCAAGAGTTTAATAAAATGCTCACCGAGTAAACAATCGGTCAATGATGTGCAGCGTCCACTTTTTAAGCTTCCACCATGCCCAGGTCTTCCTCAGTTCAGGATCGACAGGCTGCCCCTCTGTCGGAACGGGTCTCTCAATGAGTGTATGCAGGCATGTCATCCAAGCCATGAAGTTTGTTGAATCCTGCAAATACTTTGGAATCTCCAACTGCAAGATCAAAGAAACATCCACCCCTGCCTGTGAGTTGCCTAGCAGCTCACAAGAATGCAGAACACCGTACATACAAGATTGCCTGACGATTACATCGCAAGTGGTTAACCGGGACTGCCACTTTCAGCTCCCGAGTAATGGGTCCAAAACTGACTTTTTTGTTTAAATGACCCTTGGTTTTTGTTATAAATGGCCGGCAAAGTTGTCTGAAAATTGAGGCCTCCGTTAACCGCCTCTCCGATTACAAGGAGTCAAAACAGCATCAATGATCGTACCGCTGGGAAAGAAATTCCAAGGTTCCATATCACCATGAAGATCCAATCACAATGCGGATGCAAAAGATCCTGAGAAAGTTGATTCTTGATACCAAAAAAAAAAACTATGCCAACAGTTTTGCAATAAAGAAATCAGTGGTTGCGAAATGAGGAAGTCGACTTCGCTGACCTCCTCTGAGGATCGTCCACACGCAGCTCAGCGGATCCAGAGAGCTCAGGGAAAGAGTGGGTAAATGATGAAGAGAGACAAGTCAACCAGGACCACTGGACAAGGACTCTCCTTGACAGGCCAGGAAGTACACCGACAGCGTATGGCCAAGATCAGGCATAATTTTATATGGATGCTTCAATTTGTAAAAGACGTAACGAAAATTAAGCAAGACTCACAGAAAACACGCAAAGTCAAACCCATAAACAGCCAGTGCCTTTCCCAGGCCAAAATAAAATGCCCGCCAATCGACACAGAGGCCAGACCCAGGCAGGCGCGTCAGTTGACACAGAGGCCAGACCCAAATGCTCAGCGCACAGGGCCCGCGGCCAATATATGGGAAAGGTACTGGCGGTGAGGAAGACGTATCGAAAACTAAGCAAGACTCACAGAAAACATGCGAAGTCAAACCCTCAAGACAGGCTTTAAAGTTTAAACCCACAACCCTAGCACAAACTGGCAGTCGCTAGCTATTCAACGAGAGGTTGTAACCTAAGGCCTTGGCAATCTTGACAATCCAATTGCAACCATACCCGTCTTCTTTCTTACTCAGCATGCATGAAAACAGATGGCAATCTCACTGGCACCAGGCGTCCACACAAAGCTCAGAGATATCAAGGCCGAGAACACAGTTCAGATTCAAACTCGCTTCGAATGGCTATGGCGCCTGTGCACCCTCACAACACCCATCCGACACTGTATCCACAGCAACTGTTCACACGCACGCTACTCTGGATCTCCCTGGACGTCCCACACACGCACACTCTTCACTGGACACTCGCACACATACACGCTATAGCCTATCACGCACACTCTTCACTGGACACTCGCACACATACACGCTACAGCCTATCTTCTAACCTAGAGCAGCTATGGCTGCCTCCTACTCTCAGCTACTAGCGGCTATGGCCGCTTCGTCTCCCTCACTGCCCTCTTCTCCCTCAGGCACCTGCAGACTTCCTTGCACAAGTCGCTCAGGCAGCGCTTCCGCACGGCTCACAGTCTGAATGAACGAATACCTGGATGCTGCCTCTTGATTTATACTTCGGTTGGTCGCTGGTCTGCTCCTTTCCACCGGGCCTTGGGTGCACACAGTCCCATATGGTACTTGCTGACTGGACAAAGTGCAACTGGGACTGGGTACCGCTGACTAGGCAAGGTTGGACTACCCACTCGCCCACTTGCCTCTAGCCTAACCTGAACAATTCTCGAAAGGCCACTTCCGGAACTTCTGGAAGTCCGTAGAAATGGCCTTTCGGAATTGTAGCAGCGACCTTGACCTTTCAGGACTGTAGCAGCTACAACTTCTACACAGCTACGACCCCTACTTGACCTACTTGACAGACCTACAGTTCAAAACCCAACGACTACACAAACCTACGACAGACAACAGACAACTACCAAGACACAGGTCACGGGTTCGAAGTTCAAACACTCAGGGGTTGACTCGGCACTGTACACGAGGGCAAGGTCTAGGGATCAAGCCCTGGGATCTGCATCTGCTACTGCAAAGGTGAAAACCGTTTCACAATCAACACCAAAATCAAAATGAAGATTTGTATGGCCACCCATAGAGCAGCATTCCCATTGCTGCAATGCTCGCGCACATTATCATACTGTAGCTATGTCCCATTTCAAGTGCAACACAGCGTAACAATACCATTAACAGGCAAAGTCGCGTACATCAACCCATCATGTAAATGTAGCATTCAATCATTCCCAAACTTAAACCAGGACACAGCATACCTTTCTGTATAACATGCATGTACATATCGCGTCCAAAAAGATTGGCTAAAAAGTCCTCACATCCATCTAGAAATGAAAAAGACAGAAGCAAAGGGGGAAGAGAGGAAAAGAAACAAACCAAGCCTCCCAATCATTCAAGCCGAGAGCATCCCCCCAAGGCTCCCACCCCCCTTCCACGACACCTTGAGGACTTCGTTACTCACATAGGTGGACGACCAAAATATTTTGCAGATGAGCTTCATCAAGTCCGCAATTTCGACAGAGGAATCTTGTAGGGACAAGAGATACGTAAAAATCGGGAGAATCACTGGGAATGTTGTTTCAATGATTTTCTGGATCGGTACCCTTTCTTCGTCATCTTTGAACCTGCAGAAACATCCACCATATCAAGGTCGAACATAAACAAACGGCAGTGCTGCTGTATTCAGGCCACAATATATAAGCAGGGTACTGCACGCTACTGAAGATATAACACCTGGTCCAGGTTGATCCAGAGTCACAAGGTCACTTTTTTTGGGACTGGAAATAGGTGGCACCATTTCAAATAAGTGTTCACACTTCAAATACCTGTTCACACTGCTAACGGCAGTTCTAAGCAGCGCCTAAACTTCAAATCTGTGTTCACACATCTTCATGCATGCATCCTTCCTCGTGACAGCCTACTGGACATAGACATGTAGCTATCATGTCCTAAGATGTGGGTTCGAGGGACTGTTCCTTCTCTGCAGTGTCCTGTTTTTTTTAACTTTCACAACACGGCCAGGTTTGTTGGAAAATTCTTCTACAATGAGTTACGAGCTTCAGTCATGAGACTTGCATTTTGTCAAAGAAGTGCATTCGGATGTGAAATCGCCGACCAGGCATTAGACCCTTCAGCCCCCATCTTAAAGAACAACCTTCCAGTACAGGTCAAAGTCCACAGCCGCAGAGCGTCCACAAACACCAAGTGCAAGCAACGAGTTTATACATGCAGACGTATATCATCAAAACACACGACCATCCTCTGTGTTGGGTAGCGAGGCCCACATGCCACTTAACTGCATAAGCAAACTGCAACTGCCCCTGGCTGCACCTTTATTACTTTGCCAATATGGACCCCACCCTAAGTTGTTGGAAGCCGTTTTCTGACATCTCCTCATAGCTGAGGGCAGCCTCATTCATCCAGTGTCTCTTGTGAGACCCTGGCTTTATTCGCACAGATTTAGTTACAGGTAGGCCCCACCAAACCTTTTGATAAGGCCTTCCGTCTATTGAGACATCATTTCAAGCTCCATCCAAACACTTTGACCCCCATGGTTCCACTAGCACACAGATAGAATGAAATTTAGACACTATCTGGCTGTCTAATGCATGAGCCCCTGGAGATTTTAACACATGGGACAGCTCGATGAAGTTCACCATATTTTAATATGTTGGCACTCCCATTTAGCGATTGGAAACAACGAAAAGAGCAGACCGCTCATTGGTTGGGCCACCTTTTTCTCATTCTCGGCGTGGTCCTGTTCCTGACATCCCCAAACCGCAGAAAATGAATCGGTCGAGATGTGTCACCTCCGACAGAAACAGTAAATTACCAAATGCAAAAACCAACTTTCATTCCTAGGTTTGGGTGCCCGAGCACAGACACAAGGGTTTGAATAATGAACGAAGGCACAAGGCCACTCGTGGGAATAGAACATTAAACCACCACTACATCTGGACCTGTTTCAACAAACCAAAATTTGATTTCCCCGAGCCTAAAATCTGAAGTGCCACTGTGTCCCTACGAACCTCTACCGGGCCTGGCCGTGTAGAATTTTTCTTGTTGTTTCTTTAGCCTGCCCAACGGATTTGGCAACCGACAAAAATTGGGGTAAGCTGTTGGAGTAAGCTGTTTCTGTCAAAAGCAAAAGGCAAAAATTGGTCAGCCCACGGTATTTCTCTAGTCAAAGGCAATAGAAAAGTGCAACATCTGAGCTGGGCACGCATCTGTTGGGGGTAAGCTGCTTGTGGCCACTGTAGGTTTTGGCCGGTACTTAATGACAAGAAAAATGAACAGTGCAGTGGCCGCTGGAGTGGTGGTTTACGGCACCTTCAGAGGAATGGGATGGATGCTCATTGGTGCGTCACAACCATACATCAAACCTAGAAGTCCTATGTGAGTATCAAGCAACGTGACAACGGTTTGCTCACGACCTTACATCTCCCATCCTATGGCATACAATTCAATTGCTGGCGAGCACCATCCTTTTTTTTCCAATTTTTTTTCTGCCATGTTTTTTACGTTTTAATCACTGTCCCACATTTTGTCACACGGGTTGAGAGAAGTTGTACCCCGTCACTAGTGGGAACGGCACCCCACTCTTTGTCATAGTTTTCCTGCGACGGCAATTACACATGACAAAAGCCAGCCACTATTAGAGGAGCGGGGAGGGGGGCAGGTAAGGAAACGATATGTGAATCTGATATGACAGGCCACAGAGGTTGAACTTTCAAATGTTTCAGAAGTACCAGCTTTGAGATAAACTCCAGACCCTAAGCCACCACTGGCCCCTGGAGCACCAAATGGTTTTCTTGACCCTGGGACATGGAACCTAAACTATTTGGGCCTACCGGGTCACAGAATAGGCCAAAGATGTGCGAGTCTCGTGCCAGGATCTGTTTCCTTATCCAGAACTATTTTCCAAATCTAAGAATTTTCCCTAACAGCAGCACTTACTCTACTACGTTCCCGATTTTCTTTGGAGTTCTCTGTCAAAAAGGATCAGCAGAAAAAATCACCAACGTCGGCACAATCAAAAAAATGTTGCAGGAGTCCGGCGAGGCCTGCACGCAGCCAGCCGGCCGACCGACCCTTCACATGGTCAGAGTCTATAATGGCACAATCATCGGTGGCCATCGTTGCCCAGCTATTTTCAACAACAAAAGAATAAAAACCTGGAAAGTTAAAAAGGGAAGCTGTATATGATCACCACTGCCCGATTTCTAATCTCTACATCCAATTCAGCAACCCACATTTCACAACAAATAACACAAACCTGGCAGAAGTAACCCGCCTTTCTTTCAGCCTTGCTGGACCACTCCCACTTTTCCATTTACATTCACAACTTGTACACCGTCAAGAGAGCAGATGAAAAAGGTGGAGAAAGTGGCATGGAGTGAAAATTCAAAAGGGTGAGAGGGGGAGCACCCACGACAGCGATCGCAGTTGCAAGCAAAACACAAAAGGATATGAAAGAGAAGCTTCACATACTCAAATTTCCTTGCTAAAATCCTCAGAGCAAACAATGCCCCGTGAATTCTCTGTGTATCCTGGGACTTGAGGTTGCCATCAATCAGAGGGAGTAAGTTCTCCCACTCCGACGGATAATCGTTTAAGATAATGCTCTTCAAACACTCCCCAAGTTGTGACCTGAAATTTGCAGAAAACATAGACAGTTAGCCAGCCATCTTCAACTCCGAGTGCAAATTGGGATGCAATAACAGTCCACAATGCTTGCTTAAGCCACTCGAACTTGGCCCTGCTACCGGCCATGGGAAAAAAATTGGGCACTCCTGTAGTGGCCCAAAACATTTCCTAAAATTGTGGCTCGTTAACGGGCACGACTTTAGGAAGTAATGGTGGCTTAATCCACCACATCAAGGCTGAGCAAACGGCCAACAAAAAGCGTAGTCCAAATTGAGGTGCAGAATATGGAAGTAAGACCACTGTATTAACCCATGTACATCACCTAGCAATATCTGGTTAACGGCCTTCGTATATCACCCCCGATATTGGTAACTGATGGGCGCACCCGATCGCAGTCCAAGATAACAGTGTCATTTCACACAACCAATTTGAATGGGCAAACACAACACCAATGGGTTGAACAGAAAAGAACTGCACATAATAAATGACGCACTTCCAGACGAGCGACCAGCAAAAGTACCCAGACGAGTGACAGGCAAAAGTACCCAGGAAGCATACGAGTAAGAGTTCTGCGGTGCAGCCAATGCCAGTATCCGGAAAGGACGAAGAGGGACAACCACCATGATACACGTTTACAGAATTGGGGGAAAAAAATGGAGGAGGACCAAGGAATTGCGGGTCCGGACCTGATAATTGGAGGCGCAAACGTCACCGCTTCCAGTATATGATCTCTGATCATCGCTTTATCCTGGGGAAGTAGTACTCCCCCGCTGCCTGCATGGGCACAGAAACAAGAGCCAGAGATGAGGGCAAGAGAAGTGAAAGGCATTCCACAATGCAGACCCCAAATTCGAATTTCAGGGTCAAGATCTCAAGCCAAGGGAGGCCAAGTCGGCCAGTTCAGAAAGGTCACAGTCGGGTACCTTAGGAGTCGAGTCCAACAGGCACCCGGTAAACAGTCACATCATCCCACCAAAGGCAAAAGTTGCATTCTGTAAGCAAAAGTCTCGTCTCATATTGAAACGTCATGTCCCACAGGCAAAGAACACTTCTCCAGGCAAAAGCCGTGTCCCAGAGGCAAGAGTCACATTCCACAGTCAAAAGCCATGTTCCACAGATGAAAAGGCCTGACTCACAGACTCAAGCAGCAGCACACCAATGAAACTTCGGGAAAAGTACCAGGCCTTGACATGTGGTACCGGGTCCAAGACAAGCCAAAGGAAGCAGAGGCTGAGACGAGTTGAGGCTCAGTCCTGTCTAAATAATAATAATAATAATAATAATAATAATAATAATAATAATAATAAATCGACCGATCATGATCGATCTGAGCGCCAGTCAGAGTAAAATTTATTTACTGAATTTATTTTCTGTGCCCCCCTCACCCCGCCGCCACTGTCCACCTTCGCGACTCTTTCGATCGACTCACTGTCGTTTCCCGTACCTTCGTCAGGGGTATCAGAGAAATTACCGTCGGGCCTAACATGCAAACGTTTTCCATGAGAGCATATTCATCAGAATTACAAGGCCGAAATTACAAGGCCAGCGAAACGTTTTCCAAGTCGCCGAAGCGGCAGTTCTTAGAATCCCTCCGTCGTCGTTGATCACGACCGGACTGGTTCCTCTCTCGTCCCACTTTCCCGATCTTAGTTTGGTTCAGGCCAGCAAAACGACAAACGCTTGTTTGCAGATGCAGTGCTGACGATCTTCCCTTCTTCCCATTTTCCCTAGCCCGCAATCCCAACCCCAAACCTTTCTTCGATTACGCGAAGATAGGCATAAACGTTCATCAGTGATAAGAGTACAACGCGCAGCATCCACGCCCAAAAGTCGCCTAGCAAACTACAGTCTTCCCCCGAATACAACGTACGGTCATTATAGCTGAATTTGGTGCATCTTTCAGCCTAAATTCAGCTAAAATCACCGTTCGTTGTATTCGGGGGAAGACTGTAGCGTTAAAAGAGCAGCTGCCATTCACTACCATCCAGGCTATAGCAGCGCGGTTCGTGAGCGCCTGTCCCCGTGATTCTGATTACTCTTCCACCACAACGCCAACGTACACAGCAGCTGTACACAGAATTGGACCATGCCACGTGTATGCCAACTACGCCACAGCTACGCAGGCACCACAGCCACATGAATTAACACCACAAGACGGGAAAAACACGGCACAAGAGGGGGAGAAACCCCAACGTGCACGCCCGCTTCACCAAAGTCACGTGGTTCTGATTGCTCTTCCACTGCAAGGTCAACGTACACAGCAGCTCTACTACGCAGGCACCAAAGCCACATGAATGAACACCACAAGGGAGGAGCCACGTGGCAGATGAACGTGTCAACGACACCTGTGTAAGGACAGCAGTCGGGACGATCCACCTCGGGATACCTCGTTGTGGCCCCTACTCCCTCCCTCGAGACATAAGAAAGGAGTTGGATACCCATCGGGCCTAGCTCAGTTGGTACACCCATGAACTCTTGAAATACAGACCCAAGTTCGAGTCCAGATGCAACTATCTATAAAACGATTCTGCAGTACCTGGGGCCGGTCAGTTCAATGGTGATAACTAGAGGCCGTCGTCCTTTTTCAAAAAAAATGAAAAAAAAAAAGAGAGAGAATAATCGAATCGCGCTACCATATTCGACGGCTACAAACGTCGACCGATAATTCTGCTCGGTGTACCTCTCATTCAGGTCGGGGGATATCCGAGTCGGTGTACCTTTCATTCAGCACCCCACTCAGTAGCCCCTGTTCTGCAGATCTGAGGTTAATCAGAGATCATGCGAGGATGTCGTTCCGTTAAATGCACGGATTCGAATCCTGTTGGGTTTTCTTCTTACGAGTAACACTATTCACTATTACTGTACCAGATTCGAATCCGTGCATTTAAATGTTCCTTGGCTTTAAATGCTTGGTCTTCACTATTACTGTACCAGATGATTCTCACGAAACTTGCGTACACAGCAGCGGCTACCAAGCGGGGGCGCCATGACTAGCACGTAAAGCCAAGGAACATACATATACCCAATCCCCCCTGCCAGGTCTAACATCTCAGTCTGACATCGGGAAGTCGCCAGGTCGTCGTCGTTGACTCTGAGTCAGCAATTACGACCGCCCTCACAATTTGGAAGTTGAACCGCCGGAGATCATCTTTTCTCTCTCTCCAGATTCATATATGTCATATATATACATGCAGTTTTTACGATATATAAATAAATAATGATATGATTATACGACATAGGGCCCCCCAAATCCAGTCTACAAGACGTGCCAAACAAGTGAACACCGCCATATATCTATCATCGACTGCTTACCTATGTATGCAGGCCATAATCACAGAGGAAGGTCCCCAAGAAGCAAATGCAACGCCGCCAATTTCCAGTCGACATCGACGTTCCCAACTTGTCCTCCACCTCACAGTATAAACCACAATGTTTTCCCATTTTTCACTGCCACGTCGCCTGTCTCTTATACACATCTAGATGTGTATAAGAGACAGGTGCCAAACAAGTGAGCAACGCCACAATGCCACACATGGCAAGAAGACCAATCAGGAATTGAAATAACAAAATACGACCAAATTCTCTCGAAGAACATAAAGATGGCGAGAAGAGAGAGACACCACGAAAGAGCTCTCTCTACGACCAAGGGATCGCGATCGCAGCTCCAGAAGAAAAAAGGGGAGCAAGCGTAGAGAAAGGGGAGCAAGCGTAGAGAAGAGAAAAGAAAAAGGGTATCGAAGACCAGCTGACCGCCTTCTAAAGGGGAGGGAAGAGGTCAACAAAAAACAAGGGGACACGACGCGCAGCAGACAGAGACACGAACACGAAGACGGGAGCAGTGGCCAGCAAGTATGGTAGGAGGGAAAGAGAGGAGGACGGGAGAGCGACGACCAAGGCGAGAGCACCAAAAGCAGGGAAAAACATCGTAAGGAAAAGAAGGGCAGACAGAGCGGGGGAAGAAGTCGACAAGGACAGGAAGGAGTAAGGCAAAGATAGGGAGAAAAGCTGGTGTCAGAGGAAAAGAGACGAGAGAATGAAGCAATACGCAAAGAACAAAAGACGGAAAACAAATACAGGACGAAGGGAGATGACACGGGGAGACCGGGGGGACAAACGGGAGAAAGGGAAAAGCCGGGCGAGAACAGCGAGGAGTGCCTTCAAAAAGATTGAAGGCCGAGGGGCAAGGAGAAAATGGAGAAGAGGCTTGCGTACCCGAGCACGCTAGCCACGGGTGCAAAGACAGAAGGACGAAGCGAAGGCAATCACTTTTGAGCGAGACAACAAAAAAGGAGCACCGATCATCGAAGAGAGCGCGAGAAATAATGACAATGTGAAAGAATAAAAGGAGTACTATACCTTCCTCGCTGTCGCCCCATTTCTGCGCTATCAGGTTCTTGAAGCAGATGCTGGCCACCTGACGAACGGATATGTCGATTTGCGGCGATGCAATGATCTGCATGAGCGCGACAAGATAGCCCGGCACAAACTGGTACTGCGCACAGCGAGAGGACAGTTGAAAACACAAAATCAATCAAACAAATAACATACCGTATGTCAAATCCGCCGGCCGAAGACCCCAACAAAAGCAACCAAGAGGGTATTGTTCACTTCACGAAACAGTGGCTCTCACGTCGCCTCTCATTCAAATCTCTCTCTCCGTCTGTCTCAGGACATAGTACCGATTGCCCACATTCGCCGCCAAAGCGGATCCCACAAAGCCACAATTCCAAAAATCCCAGATCCCCAATTCCACCCAAGTTCACACCACCGCTGATCCAAATCCAATTTCAAAGTCTGCCGACGCCGGGAATGCCACTCTGCGTGCGAGTTCAAGTCCCTCTGCGCGCGAGAATTGCTACCTCAATCAATGCACGCAAACAAGCCTGGGAATAATAAACAATTCCTGCTGTTCAGGACGATCGGGCATAACGCGACCACTCTCTCCACTCTCCCCACTCTCTCCGCTCCCCCTGCGATTGTTCAGCACCTTGTTAATCTGGATTGGACATGATCGGTGCCAATTGACTCTGCGCTTTCTCTCCCTCACGCCACCCGCCACCGTTTCCCGCCAACTCACGTGCCGAACACTGTCGTTTACCGCCAACTCACGTGCCGAACACTGCCGTTTCCCGCCAACTCACGTGCCGAACACTGCCGTTTCCCGCCAACTTACGTGCCAAACACTGCCGTTTCCCGCCAACTTACGTGCCAAAAACTCCCGTTTCCCGCCAACTTACGTGCCGAAAGCTGCCGCTTCCCGCCAACTTACGTGCCGAGCACTGCCGCTTCGTTTTCCCCGCCGCCAGCCCGCGTTCGACAGCGCCGACAGTGTATAGGCACAACACCAGGGCGTAAGGCACACCACCCGCAGTTGGATTTGTCCACGTCACCTGTCGGGCAGCAGCTTCGTCGCCGTTCACGACATCGATTGATCACCATCACCAATGACTCAGTCCTCCTGTCACCACAACCATCGTCCTCCCTGTACTCTATAATCGTCAGCCAACTCATCGCAGCATCAGTCGCTCTCTCGAGATGTCAAAACCTCGCCATCCTCATGAATAAACTCGATAACAGTCATTTCGTCCTTCCAGATCGAGAAACAACTGCCACGTCGCAGACAGCACCGACCTGCGTTGCTTTGACGAGAAAACGGCAAAAAAAAGTGGAAAATAGCAATCTCTAGAGGGTAGAAACAATCTCTAGAAAGAAGAGGGTAGAAACAATCTCTAGAAAGAAGAGGGTAAAAWCATTCTCTAGAAAGAAGAGGGTAGAAACAATCTCTACAAAGACGGGGGTAGAAACAATCTCTAGAAAGAAGAGGGTAGAAACAATCTCTGGAAAGAAAAGGACCAAAGCAATCTCTAGAGAGGAGAGCGAACGACGGACGAAGCAGCGACTGTCAAAAACTTGGCATTGACGGTGGCGAAGCAGTGCCGCCACAAAGACTCCAGGTCGGGGCAGACAGACTTCACAAAAAAGGAATGCGTGGAAAGGGACAGAGGGTGCTACCACAAAGACTCCAGGATGCGTTTTAGAAGTGAATGAGCACTGAGACAAAAGTATTACAAGTGACTACGAGGGGAGAGAGGACGAGGATGCTACACCCCAGAACCAATTGCTGTGCTCGTTACATTCCACTCTCAGAAGGGACAGAGGGTGGAGACGGGAAAAAAAAAAGGATGACCCATCGGAACGGGAAGCGGGGACAGCAGAGGGGCAGAAGAAGGGACTGGAAGGGGGAAAAAAGCGCGGCACCGCACCAGAGAAGAAGAGACGCATACATGCCAGACAGCACCCGAAAGATGGGCAAGTACTCCACGCGCAGTTTACGCTTCATGCCTTTTGCCACAAAAGAACCCGTTCAAGTTTGTGCCATCGTTCGTTTCACGACAAAATCGACCCAGCAATACAACGGATGTCGCTGACATGATGATACCAGAACATAGGAGATAAGACAAAAACAGGCGACAGCAAGACGCCGAAACGAGACTAGCCAGCCATAGAATAAACCGCCGCACCCATCAGAGATCTGACGGATCTGACGGATGCACCTGAGCTGCAGCTTAGGAAAGGATGATGAGAGGACAACGGCAATTACTACCAGTAATATGTCACAGATGCATTCGCCTTCCATGACAATTACCCGTCGTCTGCACACCGCCGTGACGATTCCTGCGAAACCTAAGCACGGCTGGCGCCCAAACCGGGAAGAAACTTCACCCTTCACGCCCATTGCAAATACTAGTATCATCGGACGCCACACTATCCATCATCCTCGCCAAAATGAACCACAGTGACTACAAATCACACACTCGCATGACGTGCTCTCTCTCTCTCTCTCTCTCTCTCTCTCTCTCTCTCTCTCTCTCTCTTTTCCCCTGCGGTTCTAAATCATACACTCACATGGCGTTCGTCCACTCCTACCGCGTCTGTGAAACGGGCACCCGCAAACAATGCCTGATAAGGGTTGCACAATTTGACCTCGGATTCTTGCCCCACTGCCCCACTCCTCCCAATGCTTATGAAGTCAACCTTAGGACAGACGCTAGAGATGAAGAGAGCGCCGCAACCTCGGATCCATTGGATCCCTGTTCATCGACCGGCACTTTTCCCAGGCTTAGGACAAACAGTCCAAAAAATTGTCAGGCAAGAAACCTGCCCTCCAACACCTCATGAATCGAAGTCCAAGCTACACGCTCCTTCCCACCCCTCTTTCTTTCTCTATGTGTACATGCACGCCCGTTTCGACCCAAACGACCGCAATGCTGACATTGCTTGATAGGACACACGTATGAAGTTGCATAATGTAATGCGTGTTCATATCAACTCATTCCAGC